ACACACACACACACACACACACACACACACACACACACACACACACACACACACACACACACACACAGAAAACCTTAACTGCGACATCAGGAGTTTCTTGACAGCGGGCGACTTTCTTGCGGGCGGTATCTTGTCGATGCTTAATATCATATTATATGCTTTGGTGGCATTAGCTGAGCACTTGTTATAACAAATTTTTAACCAATGCAAGAAACAATGTAAAAACAATGTATAACATTTCTCTGGAGAGATTAGATAGATTAGATGGAGCGCCTTTGGTTATACATTGTTTTTTACATTGCCATTGTGTTTTCGTGTTGTGACGTTGCACCGCGCTTGGTGCAAACATTTCGCACTATTTTTATGTTTTTGAACGTGGAATGTGAAAAAAATAAAACTGAAAAAAAATAAATAGCCCATGCAACGTGTCATGATCTGTAGAATCTTCCGACCAAGTTTTGAGAGGATCCGTTGAGCGGGGCGAAAACGTATAGCCGGACACACACACACACACACACACACACACACAGAAAATCCCCAATTTATAGTAAGATAATTACGCTACATAAAAAGTTTCAATGTTTAATCACCATTAGAAATATTTAAAAAAAACGTTTTAAAACTAACGACTATATACAGTTTGATTGCAACGACGGTGGCGCCACTCAAAGCGCATGATCTGTTAAGTTGCGCAAAACCACTTTCCAGCCAAGGGCTACAGACCGAGGGTGTTTCTTATTTATTAATTTAAAAGCAAAATGATTGTAATATCTTATAAACGACATATAGTTTCAGTTATAATATGGATAAATTTGCCCTAAAATGAATATCGTTCGGTTAAATAGCATTTAGGTATAAATATAATTGCACTTTTGTGATTAGCCCTCGGTCATTTACCTGCAAAAAAAAAATGCAAATACGCAACTTTTTCAGGGTGGCAGCACGGTCGCGGGTGTCATGGCGCCGTTCAAATTTCGTAGCGTTGATGTGTAAATAATTAATTAAGTATCTGGTGACAAATACCTGTGGGTATAGGCGATTTGTTATACAGTAAGTACAGTTGTATGCAGTAAAATCCTAGAGGCTACTGTCCCTTTAAGTATTAGACCGTGGCTATGCAACCGGTTCCGGACGAGGAACCGCTAGGCTACGCGTCCAGACATCCATCTCACACAGTAATCTTGCAACACGTACACGCATGATTGCGCAAGGGGACGCTCTGCTGATTGCCGAGTGTGTGTGTGTTTGCGTGAGAGAGAGAGAGAGAGAGGGAATGGGTATGTGTGTGTGTATGCGTGAGAGAGAGAGAGATAGAGAGAGAGAGCGCTAGAGGTGTGTGTGTGTGTGCACGTGTGTGT